AACAATTGAGTCTTAGGTTTGATAAATCAACGGCGTTCTTTTCACGGATGCATCCGCGAAAAGATCTTCGCAAAGCCCGCGCTCCCAAAGTACGTCTTTCAGCACGTTTTTAGAATTAAGCTTGTCTTTTTTTGTTTTTCCCGCGTCTTCGCAACCCTCGTCGATGGCCCCGCTCTATCAGAAGGGCTGATAGAGCGGCGAAACGCGCCCTAAGACCGACATGGGCAATACTTCGTCCCAGCAAGGCGCGGCTGGCCCTGGTACTGTGTGATGCCGCAAGCCTGGCGCAGCAAAGTTCTCCAGGGGGCGAACGTTGCTGGCGCTTGGCTTCCCCCGAAAATGCGGGGTAATGGACCCTGGCGCCACGATTGTGCGGCCGGAATTGCCAGGGATTATGGCAGCGGATTCCCANGCTTGGCTTCCCCCGAAAATGCGGGGTAATGGACCCTGGCGCCACGATTGTGCGGCCGGAATTGCCAGGGATTATGGCAGCGGATTCCCCAGTCCGGGAAACCGGGCAACCCACGGTGAAACTTATCGACGGGCAGCGCGTATTATCCACTGCAGTCTCCGGGTCAGGTACTTTACCCTTTGCAAAATGCGCCTTATTTGCAAGGTGCGCAACTTCGCCATCCCAATAAGTAGCGACCGTATCACGGTGTAGCCCGAATTAAGCCGAATGCGGTGCTGCCGACGTGGTAATTTAGCTTCCCAAATAATGAACTTGGTACTAGACCTTGGCGCCACGATGAGGCATTTCCACGATACCAAGGAATTAAGCTTGTTTTTTTCTGAAGCGGAACGGGCGACCAGAATAAATCATTTCAGCCCTGCAAGAAAAAAAAAAGCATATGATCCAAACGCTTTTTCCATTCCACCCCTTCAAAGCACATAAGCCGAGCCAAACCCACAACACAGATAGCACTTTAACCGCTAAAGAAGGATAGAGCTACTTAACGCTTTTCTAATGGACACAAAACAAATTTTGCTCCTTTGCGAGAGAAGATGTTACCCTCTGCCTTTTCGACGGGCCCGGTGTTCACCACGCCCTTCGGGGATGCAGAGCCATGTTGATGTTCAGTGCGGGGAACGCTGGTAAATAGGCGGGGGTGCTTGGCAACATTGGTAATAATTCTCCCGAGTAAAATTATCCAATGGCCTTTTTGAAATAACCCAATTGCAAACTTTCAGTTCCAGAAACACCTGCGCCAACCGACGTTTAGGCAAGAGATGGTAAATTGGAAAAAGGCACAGATTCCACAGCCAGAATAGTCTATACCTTACCTTCCTCTAGTAAATAAAAGAGAGAGAGAGAGTAAGCGAGACATTATATTTAAATCCCATTTCGAAACCCCATGCCCCTGGTTCACGTAGAAGGGGGACTTCCAGTAACCTCAAGACCTTCCCCTTATAAGGAAGTTAAGCTTCTAGTCAACTGGCGAAAAGGAGGTTCTGAAAGCGCCCTTAACCCGCCTCCCGCGCTCCCCGCTCGCAAGTCCCACCCCGTCGCGATGTCCGTCGGCAGAACCTTTGCTCCCCGCGATATACCATCCGCAGAATTGTTTTCCGACACGACATAGCCCCATGTGGCGTTCAAGCCGTGGTCCCGCAGAACCCTGTCGATATGCCAAGCCTCTTCCGCCAAGGCATCGGAATGCGTGTTGCCTTTTCTCATAATATGCATTGCCGCCGCGCCATCGACGCTTATATGGAGTGTAAAAGGCAAACCCCCATTGAAAGCTAGCAAGGCCAATCCGACGGCCCTCGCTTCAGCCTGTGCAATAATATGGGGGGCTTTTTTCCACGCACCCCCAGTGGCCACACTTCCCCGTTGTCTTTAAACAACAACGCGCCCTATCCATATAAAGAGGCTTCAGACATCAATGCCCCTGAAGTCGGTAAAGCCCGCGGGGTTTTGCCGGGTTGTTCTGTAGCAGAGCATCCAGCCATTCCAGCCCGACCTTGAGGGCATGAGGGTGCAAAGCTGCCGGGCCATGGGCCTCAATCAGCCCCCTGTTGAGGCGCGAAAGTCTTCGGCGCACCATTTTCAAGAAGAAATAATGGCGGAAAAGCGAACCCCCCTGAACCCCCGCAGCAGACACCATACGTGACATGAGGCTTTCCAATTCCTCCACCGAAATCTTGTGGAGGGGTGTGGCTCCCCTCAATTTCCGTAACGTTTTGTCACTCAGGGAAACGTCCTAGCCGTGTGGTTGAAACAAACCCCTATGAATTCGCAACGCGTGGTGAGGGCCTCGTGCCCCCCCACCGTCGCACCGCATCCACGCATATTTTCCATAATAGCGTTCCCCCACAACTCAACACTTTTACGTGGCCCTGTGATACGCAGATTGTCAATCCACACGTGAAGGGTTAGCTCCGGCGGGGCTTCGAACCGCGGTTTAACGACCTCGGGGTCACCCGCCAAAACCCTTGTGATGGTATGCACGATTTCTGGACTACATTTATACCCCATGGGGNGGCTGCGAACCGCGGTTCAACAACCTCGGGGTCACCCGCCAAAACCCTTGTGATGGTATGCACGATTTCTGGACTACATTTATACCCCATGGGGAGTCGCGTGAACTCAACGAGCTCCCCCTTTTCTGTTCGGCAACGGAAATTACCGCGTGTGTCTGCTGGCAAGCCCACCTGGAAGAAAGATGCCTTTAAATCGAAAATGGCGGCTGTTTCGCCATAAACCGCGCCCAGGTACTGGGAAATATGCCCCAGAGGAACCATAACCCCGTAGTCCTCTTGGTCATTTTTTGCTTTGGGCCAGGCTATGAAACGGCACCGCGGCCCCGACTGTTTTTCCTCCACCACCGTAAAAGGCACAACCCACTCGGTAGTGGGTAGCTTTGATGTGGTTTGAATAATGCCCGCCTTCTTCATAACCTGGGCGTCCTCCTCTGTCATCTTCAAGAGGGGCTCTCGTTCCCCTGCCCTAGCAAAAGCTGGCTGTTGGACCAAGTCCCACACTGTGTTAAACCGTTTCAGAGCCGTAGGATTGAGCCGGCTCCGGATCCAGTGCAATGAAATAGTATCCACGCCTACCTGCTGTAACGGTAACTTCCTTTCATCGTTCTGATCGGCCACACGTGTGCGATGGGTACGTCGCAAAATGCTGTGCCCTTGAAAAAGCTGTCCCTGCTCTTGCCCTCTCTCCGGACAGGCCCATGGAGACATCGCCCATTTGCCGCCCTCTTCTACATATATGCCGTCAGGTGTGCGGATTTGTTGACCAAAGCGACCTACGGCCCTATGCACCGCGCTGTGCTGCGTGGCGGCTCTAGAGGGTTTGCGTGTTTCCCCAACTGGGCTAGTAGTCGAGGGTCGAGGTCGTGTTCGATCACTGCTGCGGCTGCATGCGCCAGTGCCCCTCTTTTTATGGAATGCACTGTCATGACGAAGGGGCGGAGTACATTTTCCATGCCTCTTGTGGTTAAAGTTGTGAGCCGTTCCCCCACCACCATTCCCGTGGTGACGCCTCTCACCCTTTTTGCACCTTCTCCCCCGATAACCACGTATCTTACCGCTCTGTGAGGGTCGATTTTGAACGTCTTTTGGAGAGCCCCCCAGTCTACAATGAGGGCTTCCTTG